TTATTTATTTTTGAAACAGGGTCTCACTATGTATCTCTGGCTGTCCTGGAACTCATTCTGCCTCTAACCCAGAGATCCGATTGCCTCTGCCTCCCAAGTGCTGGGATTAAAGGTGGTGCCATCACCACCTGGGTTTTAATATAAAGCTTTAACAATATTTTTCATTGGACTTACATGGATTCACCCAAATGTCCCCAGATATGATATACTGTTTGGGTCATTAGCTCAGTAACAGATATGTATTACTGCATATTTAATTAATATATTTGATACATTAATGTATGTATTACTGCATATTTTGCTTTCCCATCTACCAATCAGCAGAGCCCTCTGTCTGGTCATACAGGATCCACTTCTCAGGAACAGCACTGACCTAGTCTGTTTAGTTTTTTCTCTACTCTCTGGGCATATAGTCAAGTTCCAAGTCTATAAACAAGACTGAAAGATGCCTGAAATTCCAGAATTTGAGAGGTGAAGACAGGAAGCCAAGACCATCCACAGCTACATGGCAAGTCCAGGACTAGCCTAGGTTACATGAGACCCTGTCTAAAAAAAGTAAAAATAAAAATGTTTTTGGAAGCAAGGGAATCAGGGGTTCAAGGCCAGCTTCGGGCATTTAGTGAGTCTAAGGTCAACAGGGGCTGACTAGATCATCAGATGTTCATTTACAACTTTGATATGCTAAAAGCACTGAAGCCTAACAGAGCCAAATCAATTCAGACTTTCCCCAGGTGCTTCCCCACACCCCACAGCCACACCAAGTACATAATGGCCTTTTTTTTGACAAGTACAAACTTATACATACACCAGAGAATCATGCTTTAAATTTGATTTCCACCATCAGGCTGAGCAGTCTTACTGTGTGTTTGTTACCAGTGGCTTCTCTCTGGAGCACTGTGTCTACATCCCAGACCCAGACCCAGACCCAGGCAATCCCCAACTTCTCTTGGTCCTTCACATACCTTCTCCTGAATCTGGCCCCCAATGTTCCTCAGGGACTCCTGGAAAACTTTGTTCTTGGGTTCTAGGCTCACACATCTCTTCAGGTCAAGGACAGCCTGGTCCAGGCGGCCCAGCTTCTCTAGGGCTTGGCTCCGGCGATAGAGTGCTTTGACATCCCCACCGTCCTTTTCAATGGCTGAGCACAAACAGGAGCTCTATCAGCACCCATGGGGACACCATCTCCAGGCAAGAGCAGTAGGGATAGATCTTGAGGGCCAAAGGAAGACAGGGGTGCGAATGTGGAGCTCGGTGCTTCAGCCTCAGAAAAGGTGAGGGCAGCTGCAGAAAAGGAAAGGCCGAAGAAGTGGGAAAGCAAGTAGAAAGACGAGTGTCTGGGACCAAAGGAGGAGAAAGGGATGGCTCAGTGGCCCCAGAGTCCTTGCCCACCACAGAAGACCTATTGCTCCATACGAGGGCCCACACTGCCCTACCTTTAGACGCCTCTGATTCTGCTTTGCTGTAATCTTCCTGTAAGAGAATGATCAGGAGCCTGAGAGGAACTAATAGAGTGGCGATGGCACCCTTGTTTTGCTGAGCCACCCGACCCCCCACCCCACTCCACCCCCGACTCCTATGCCTAAAGACCTCTGACAATCGTGGGTGGCTAGGAAATGGCCAGCTGGTGCGCAAACAGCAGCAGCTATGGGCAATCCCAAGTTAGAGCAACCCGACCCCCTCACCAGCTTGAGGTGGCAAGCAGCCCTGTTTCGGTGCAGAATGGCCTGGTCCTGGGGCGTCGTGCCGAGACTCAGGGCCTGGGTGTAGGCGGTCAGGGCGCCCTCGTAATCCCCGCATTTGAACAGCTCGTTGCCCTCCTTCCGCAGCTGCTCGGCTTTGCTGGCCTGTGGGAGAGAAAGGCGGTGGGCAGAGCAGCGCAGCTGGGAGAGGAGCCGGGTCCGGGCCGAGTCCCATGAAGGGCTAGAATAAGGTGACGGCGGCCAGGTGCGAAGGGGAGATGCCACGGGAGATCAGTACACACCCCGGGGTCAGAAGGTCGGGATTCGGGGGTCCCCGGGCCACTCACAGTCATCCCGAAGCTGAGTTCCAAGAGCCGGTGCAGGCGCACTCTCTGGAGTAAAGGTGGTGGCCCTGGGCTCGGCAAGATGCCGGTGACTGTCCCGCCCCAGCAATGCGTCAGGTTTACGCCAAAGAAGGCGAGGCCAAGGAGAGGTAGCGTCTGTGCAAGGGCCGGGTTCTCGGCCGCGTTGCGCAGGCGCAGGCTCAGGCACACGCGCAAGGATGCTTCACCAGCGCCTAGTCTGTTCCCACTGGGACCTGCAGGGGGCGCGCGGCAGAGGCTCGAAAGGAAAGGCGGCGGCCGCTGGAGTTTTGTCTTTCCCTCCGTCCCCGACCACGGCAGAAGTGCACGAAATCTGCAGTCATCAGTGCCATCAGCAGTAGACTGTAGATGCCCAGTGCTAGGAGCGGGCCTGGACCCCTGGGGAAGAGGAGAGAGTCAAGGTTGTATACTGGCTGCTACAAGTCAGGGTTTACAGAGCCCAGAGAGGGATAAATACTGAGGGCATGCGCATATTTGCATACAAATTTGGAAGCTTGCAAGTACCTTGAAGACAAACGCGGCTAGATTCAGAATTAAACCCCCTACTACAGTGTGTCCATGAACTACAAGATACTCTTTATTTTAACACAATCCAAACTCCTTAAGACATAAAGCAGCTTCCGTTACTTGTTCTTCATTTACAGTATTGTTTGTAATTATGATTTAGTGACTTCTTCTCCACTAGTCTGGAAGCTACAAGTCTCCCACTGCAGAATTCAAGGACAGAGCCCAAGACACTGGAGCACCCTGTCAGTATTCTGTGAAACTGGGACTAGAGTTCTTACCTGAGGATGGGTGGGGGCTGAAGAGAAGACAAGTTTACTTGGTACAGGGCCTCAAATTCATCCAGGGTACAGCAGGAACCCTCAGCAGCCTGCAGGTGGCAACAGTAGGCCTCCTCAGGAGAATCAGAGAGTCGAGGACAGAAAAATCCAGGGTAATGGCGGCCTTCAGCATCCCGTGTAGTCTGGCACAAATGGGGGTGGTGAGCCAGTGCTGGAGAGAAGCAAGATGTCTATAGAGAAGGGAGGTTACCCACATCCCCTTCACCCTGTTCAAAGTGCAAAATGGGGTACAAGTCCCTAACAGGAGAGGAGAGGAAGCTCCCTCCACCCCTCACCATCAGCTCTCCCAGTACCCCAAATCACCCTTAGAGGATAGGGAAAGTATTATACCTGAGAGGTCTGTTGGCTGGGCAAGGTTCATCCAGATGAAAAGCAGTCCCACACACAGGCCTGTCAGCAGCAGCCCTGGACTCCTCTGGCGGCCCATGAGAAGTCACTTCCACCTCAGTCTTAGTCCTAGGAATCCAGTAAGGGTTCTAAGTCCTGGCTACGCACAGTAAAGAACCAGAAATTAAAATCCCGAGATTCGCAGGGGTGGAAACTCCTCTGTCACAAGCTTGTAGGGAGATGAGAGTGATTGAGTCCTTTCATCTGCTGGGAAATGTGAGGTCTTTGGCTCCAAACTGCCTACGATTTCCTAAGCAGAAGGGAGGAAAGGAATCCCAGGCGAGAAAAAAGTTGAGCCATTGTCAAAGAAAGAAAGAAAGAAATGAAATGAAGTTGTAAAGCCAAATGTGTTTCTATCTACCCATTCTTCAGCTTCTAGTCTGCAGTGGACACCTCAGGAATACCGACTACTTCATTGTAGGCCCCAGGGACCTCTATTCAGCCTGTGGGGCATCCCTCCGTAACTGCCGTGACATGGCAACCAGCAACCCTGTGGGAGTCTCGTCTTTAAGCTTCCCCTGAGCCTTATCTCCCTAGCTGCCAGCCTAGACATGAAAACTGCCTGCCTGGTTGGAATACACTTAGCATCTGGCTATCTCCATTCCTCAGAACCCTTTTGGGTGATTCCAAGGTCTTGCTTATCCCTCATACTTCAGAGCTGCTAACGCTAAGCCGAGATTTCTCCAGAAGATCCAAAGCCGGATGGCCAGTAAAGAGTGAAGGATGATTTCAGTGCCTGCCCAAGCTAGGCAACACTCTGCTCCTGAATCAGCAGGGTCATTACCTCAGGGGCCCACAGCAGAGGTCTGGGGACTGAAGTGGCTCCCTTATGGTTCAATAGAGTAATGCAAACAGTTTCTGTAGAAACAGTTAGTTAAGCAAGATCCAAGTCTCCAGAAGGTCAAATCCTAGCATCTCTAGGGCCAAGATGCTAGGTTCAGATGCCCATGGTAACAGAGATTGACCCTGTGGGGAGAACTATGTTTGGAGAACTCTGAAAACGTTCTGGGCGTTGCCAGGTTGTAAATGGCCTTTTTCTTGTGGAAGAAGCTGTCTCTGCCTCCCAGGCTAGATAAAATGGGCTTTCCCACGGTCCCACGGCCACCTGTGCCTTCCAGCTCTGTACCCAGCACTCCGTGAAACCATCACTCTTGGTTTTGTCCCCCTTTTCTACAAAGTCTGTTAGTTCTCAGAGAGCCAGGATACTGTCCTTGAGTCTGGAGCAGAGAACACTGCACCAGCCTCTGTGATTATTGAAAACTGTGTTTTATATCCAGGATCTCGGTCTTTAAAGAACCTCCATTGAGACAGGGTTGATGGCTTAGTGGGTAGAGTGCTTGCTGCACAAGAATAAGGACTTGCATTCAGATTAATGCAACAGCTAGGTAAAAAGCTGCTGGTGGCAACCTACGCCTGTTGTGCTGGGGAGGCAGGGAGACAGGAGACTCTCTGAAACTCGTTGGGTAGCTAGTCTTGCTAAATACCTGGGCTACAAGTTCAAGGAGAGTCTTTGTCTCCAAAACTAAGGTGGAGACTTATAGCCGCTAGATTCCACGCGCACGCGCACGCGCACACACGTTGGGGGAAGGGGAAAAATAGATGAATTACAACTTGTTAGAAACAGTTCGGTTCTCCGAGCCTCCGAAGCGCCAGGCGGCGCTGTAGGTGGCCCATTCGGACTCCGTAGTTACAGTCCCCCCCCGCGCCACCCGCGCGATGGGCTCGGAGGCAGCTCAGCTGCTGGAGGCTGCTGACTTCGCCGCTCAGAAACACCGACAGCAGCGACGGAAAGATCCTGAAGGGACTCCCTACATCAATCACCCCATCGGTGGGCGCGCCGGTTGGGAAGCTGTCTTCGCGGAGCGTGGCGGGTGGGGGCTGACTGGGACGGGGACACAAAGCGAGTATAAATTATTGAGCGCCTTCTTCGAGTCCCAAGCTTTGTGTCAACCACTTTTCAGGCGTTATGCCGTTAAGCCTCACTTGGGGTAATAGGCAGGGTTGTTCCCTTAGTACAGTCGATATCCAAAGAGGATAAGGGACTTTCCAAGGTCATCCAGCTGGCGAGGTGCGACATCTGGCTCCCTCTAGTCTGACTTCTGCTTTGCCTCTGCCAGGTGTAGCCCGGATCCTAACCCATGAGGCTGGAATCACAGATATTGCGGTGTTACAGGTAACTTTACTGTTCCCTGCCAGGAGGCTGGTGTGGGAGACTGGAATACTGTAGAGCAATGGGTGCTATTTGGCTAGTAGGCTAGTGTGTCACTGCGCTGAATGGTAGCCTATCCCCAGGCCGCCCTGCTCCATGACACAGTAGAAGACACAGATACTACCCTGGATGAGGTAGAGCTGCACTTTGGAGCACAGGTTCGACGCTTGGTGGAGGAGGTAACAGACGACAAGACTCTGCCCAAACAGGAAAGAAAGCGGCAGCAGGTGGAGCAGGCACCCCACAGCAGCCCAGGGGCCAAACTGGTGAAGCTGGCAGACAAGCTACACAATCTGAGGGATCTTAATCGCTGCACTCCTAGAGGTATGCTCCCCTACTGACTCTGAAGAAAGGGTGAGGGATGTCCAGCTTCTGAAAATACAGGTTGGTCAGAAATAAGCGGGGGTGGAGTAGGGTGGGGTGGTCTTAATACCTCTGACTAAACCTCCTAGAGCGGTCTTCTTCCATAAGGTGGCAACAGAGTTGCTTCGTGTTGGAGAAGTTGTCAGATCATTCCATCGCAACCCATCTTAGGGCCTTGTACCAAAGCCTGCCAGGAAACAGGCAAAAGACAATGCTGGCCTTGACATCACATGAGCAGGTTTCTGTCCACTCTTGTGCAGGATGGACAGAACACCGAGTCCAGGAGTACTTCGAGTGGTCAGCACAGGTGGTAAAGGGGCTTCAAGGAACGAACCAGCAACTGGAAGAGGCACTAAAGCAGCTGTTCGAGGAGCGAGGGCTGACTCTCTGAGCCGTCCTCCGTGCAGTCCTGTGCCATGGCTCCAGCAAGGCCCAGGAAAGACGGGATTCTTACCGCAGCATTTCCAAGTGCCCTCATAACTCACATTCCTTCGTTCAACCCAGACATCACAGGCTAAAAAACGTCTGCGTTTTTTCACTCAACGGAGGCCCGAATATGGAAGCCAGATATGCCCATCCATCCATGTACTAACAGCCTTTCCTTAAGTCTTGGGTCTGTTTGCTGTTTTGCATGGTGGAACCTCTGGCCCCTAAGGGACCTCAGATTGGATAGGCATTGGTTTTTAAGTCGTGGAAAATAAAGTAACATGAAAAGGCCTGGAAGACTCCAGTGCCCCAACACCAGCTGAAGCGGTTGCTCAATGATTGCCGCCTTCCTGGGTTGCTAAGTCACAAGAGCTTCCGGATATCCGGAAGAGGCCCTGAAGTTGCCCCGCCCATTTAGAGGTGGGTGGAGTCTGTAGGAAGCAAAAAAAAAAAAGTCGGAGGTTTAAATTCTTATGCACATGCGTGTGGAAGTCCTACAGTGTGGGTGTGGCAATCAGAGAACTTGAGAGTTGGATTTCGCTCTCATGTGGGTATGGAATATCAAACTCAAGTTTGTCAGGCTTGTCGAGCTGGTGCCTTTACCCACTCAGCTATCTCGCCTTCGTTGCACCTTTCTTTTTTTTTTTTTTTTTTTTGGTTTTTCAAGACAAGGTTTCTCTGAGTAGCCCTGGCTGTCCTGGAACTCACTCTGTAGACCAGGCTGGCCTCGAACTCAGAAATCCGCCTGCCTCTGCCTCCCAAGTGCTGGGATTAAAGGCGTGCGCCACCACCGCCCGGCCCCCCCCGAAAGATTCTTAAATCTCATCGGCCATACAAAAATCTATAGTTTTTCACTGAAGCTAACGTTAAGCTGCACTTGAATTTCCCGTTCCTAGAAAAGCACCTGCCTGAAGACATGCACACTCCACACACATGACGGGGCGGGGGGCAGTCCTTCTTCACCCTCTCTGGCTCATTATCCTTTACGCCTGTCGGCCTCCCAAGGCTGGTCCTTCCTGCTTCATTTTTGCCCTTGGTATGGTGTACAGCAATCTTTTCACACTTTTTTGAGTCTAGCTGCTTTCTGCTCGCATGGTTGTTTTTGGCTGTGCCGACATCCTCACCTCGCCTCCCACCCCACAGTGTCTCTGACAAGCCTGGGTGTTCAGTTTTGGTCAGAGCCAACAGGCAGGAGACAGGGGTCTTTAGGAGTTTTAGGGGTTTCTGTTTTCCTTCTTAGCCCCTTTGGGAGGGACATAGTTCATCTCCAGGCCACAGGGAGCCTTATTACTTTGGACCATATCTTCAAACTTTAATTTTTCCTTTATAGACTGGTCCTCCATCTTTTGAAACATTTTTCTGAGAACTGGAGTCAGGGTGTTTCTTCTCACGCTGATCTACAGCACAAGCCTGCACGAAGAAGGTGCGTAAGAAGTTTGCCCCGTGGCTTGTTGGGTCTTCTGGACCCAGGTGGACAGAACCACCTCTGCCTGAAGCAAACTTTTCCCTGAGTTAGGCAGAGATTATTCCTTCCCTAGGGTGAACTAAATGGTTTCCCTCTTTCCTTGTTTTATAATGGCCACCATCCCCCCCCCACTAGAGAGAACCCTGTAGACCTAATCACCTCTCATAGGTTCCCCCTCTTACATTATGTCACTGAACTACAGAGGGACATAAACTATAGCATTCAATGCTTACATAGAAACTCAGGGGTTGCCGGGCAGTGGTGGCACACGCCTTTAATCCCAGCACTTGGGAGGCAGAGGCAGGCGGATTTCTGAGTTCGAGGCCAGCCTGGTCTACAGAGTGAGTTGGACAGCCAGGGCTACTCAGAGAAACCCTGTCTCGAAAAAAAAAAAAGAAAGAAAGAAAGAAAAGAAAAGAAACTCAGGGGTTTCATCCTCTAAGGGACTCTGTCACTGGCCACCATCTCTATTCTTCAACTGTATCGGAATGTACACGTTAAAAAGCCCTTCTTGGGCAGACTATTCTAATTCATCAGGGTGGTACAAACTCAGGAGCAGAAATAGACCCAGATGCTCCTGGCAACTCTCAGAATTTGCATTTTACTTCCCATTGGGCCTAAACAAAACTAGTTTGTTGGAAGATCCAGACTCTCCTCTGTCATCTCTATGTGAGACTTGAAACTTTACATCTTTGTTAAGAACAAAACATTTCAGAGACCTCTAGTTGAACTGTAAGCCTCACCCCTCCACTACATAGTTTGTTTTTTCCCCTTTGTGTTTATGACAGCTAGTGGCTTTTTGTTTGAGATGGAGTCCCGATGTTGCTTGAGCTGGCTCGGAACTCCTGGGCTCAATAGACCCAATAGACCCCCCTCCTCTGTTTCCAGAGCAGCTGGACTGTAAGTGCCTGGCTTCACAAGGACCTTCTTACTAACCACCATGACAGCGAGCTAGGCAGTTGCAGTTCAGGTTAGAAATGGTGCGCTGTCCAGGAATTCCTGCTTCTCTTCACGCCCTGGGGAAGGCAGATGCCGACCCTATCTGGGCCCGATCCCCCTGCAAGATGAAGGGCCTCACCTTCGCCTTTCTCTCTGTGCCTCTAGGTAGCCACGCAGTCCTTTCCTCCTTATGGAACTGGATGGTCTCAGTGAGGGAGTCCTTCCCTTTCAGGTGAATGAGGTTGTTTTGTTGTATCCTGGTTCCACTATAGACCGTAAGCCTCATGCTGGGAAGGCATCAATCCCTGAGCTCTGCGGATGACTGCTGCTGTTTACCTTAAACTATTACGCACTCACTGTGTCTTTACTAAGAACAACAGGATCCAGGCATGGTGGCATGCACTTGTGAGCCCAGCACTTCCAGGCTAAGGCAGGAAGATGTCTACAAATTGAAGGCCAGTTTGTGCTACCTGCCTCAGAGGGGGAAAAAGGAAGTTTTTTTGGCCCTTACTCTCCCAGAGGTTAGTTCAAAAGCTTTACCAGGAGTTGGCTTTTGTCCTTCTGTGCTCTATGGCAAGCTTTTACTTCTTGATTCAGGTACATGGACCCTCCCCCCACACACACACACATATCACCTTAGCACCCAGACTGAAGAAACAAGCCTATACAGGACAGAAACCTGCACTTTCCAGAAGCAACTCCGCTGAAACAAAATCTCTTAAGTACTGCTCTAAGCACTGTTTAAATATGTAAACAGCAGCAGAGCATGGTGTACATACCTGTGAGATGTATGGTATGCATGTGGGCAGCAGAGGCAGGAGGATTACATGTTCATGGCCAGCCTGGCTGTCTGTGGAAGGTCTGTGTTAGTCAGGGATACGTTGCAAGATGCCCCCAACAAATGTGCATGCTTGTGATTAATATTTGTCCCGTCAGACAAATAGCTTCACTGTACATCTCTGACCTCCAAAGAATATACTTTATTCTGCGAAGCTCCTAGGGGTTCACAGCGTCGTCTGTCATTTGATTACAAAGCATAAACTAGTAAATAACACATATGCTTGCTACCGTGTTTGGGCTCACACTGTGGAGCTTGTCCACAGCCCCACTCTATGCTAAGTGTTCCCCACTCTTCATCTTATTACTGTCGCCAAGACATGAGTAGGAAGCCATGTGGCCTGAGCCCAGCAGCAAAAACTCTGGAGAACCTGCAAGAACTTAGCCCTGTCAGAATTCCAAATTCCAAAATGTCAGCATTCAATCTTTGGATGCTGCCCGACAGACCCGAGTGACGTTCTCTGAGAAGTCAAAACACGCTTTTCTCCTGCAGTGACTGTACTCACTGCAGATGCTTTCCCACCCACACAGCTGTATTGATTAACCTGTTCCCTATAGCATGCTTTCAAGCTTTGTGTGTGAGAGTGTGTGTGTGTGTGTGTTGGCAAAACTTATTTTTCTATCTTTCCCCCCATTATGTATTAGGTTTCATGTTATGTCTAGAAAAGGCCTTCCTTATAAAAATATTTTCTTTCCAGGTGTGATGGCACATGCCTTTAGTCCCAGCATTCAGGAAGCAGAGACAGGTGGGGATCTCTTGATTTCCAGGCCTGCTTGGTTTACACAGTGAGCTCCAGCATAGCCAGAGGTACATAGTGAGACTCAAATAATTAATAATTATAATGATAACAATAATAATAATAACAATAATAATTTTGATGGTTTCCTTTGCTTTTTCCCTCTAGCCCTAGGTTTTTTGGTTTTGTTTTGGAAACTGATATAGAAGTCTCTCAGGTAGCTAGTTGTCTCAAAGCACTATTAAATAATCCATCTCCCCTCCCCTGCACTTGAAATCATATAGTAAATTTCTCTGTGCCTAGGTCTGTCTGACCTGATAGATCATGGTGGCTAAATTCACACTGGCAGAGAGTCCAAGTCCTTTGAGAACTCTGTTGACTGCCTGTTGCCCGCCTTAGCGTCACCAGCCATACGTCACCGCGGCCATTCAGAACTACTTCACATCCTCAGCTTGTCATCTTCCAGATGAATGCCAGAACCTGCAGAATTCCAAAAAGTATCCAATCTCGTGGGAGTTGCATTGGTTTTTATGGGTTGATTTGGGGAGAACCAGTCTTTACAGCGCAACTCACGGAATGCCTTGCTAGGTCTTCGGCTGACACAGGTTTCTTAGGTAGCTTATAGTTTTAAAACAATGGCAATTATAATTCCTGTCTCCATCTGGAATATGGGTGAGTGACACCAGGACATGCTTTCTGACTCTCGGGAATGCCTACACTGTCTGATTCTTCGGTGCCTTTGGTCACTGGTGACAGAGACTTTTATCTGGATTACAGTGCTTCTTTCTAGTCTTGGCTTACTAAGTTTTCATAAAGATGGAACTTGGCTTTTTTTAGACAGATTTATAGACAGATTCTCTATTGACTGAAGGAAAATGAAGGCTCATTGAAGCATGTGGCCTCCTAGTTTTGTCTCCGTCTTCCTCATCCACACACTGGGCAGGTAATACTTCTAGGTGGAACACGAGTGAACCTCCCCAATCTGCCAGGGGACGCAGCACAGGATGCCTTCCCAAGATGCCCAAGCACAGGGGTCTCGGAGGCTCTGCCTTCCCTTCTAGAGAAAGGAACCCTGCCAGGGTCCCCATGATGGGAACTTGTAGGGAGTGTGTGAGACAAGGAAGCAGGTAAGGTGGGGACACTCCCTACCCCTGCCACAAACCAACACCACATGACCAGCTGAGAACTGGTGCTAGTACCTGAGGTGTTCTGTGGCCTCTGGATGAGAGAGACTCAAGCAAGCCCTTCCTGCCACCCAGCAGCCCCCAGCCAGGGCAAACAGGCCTGGGGGGCACTTAGAGCAGAGCCAGAACAGAAAGCAGCAAAGCCTTTAGGCTCTTAGGAGAAACAGGGACTCCTTCCATGCCTTTACTCCACTAATAATGGGTGCCTATCCATCTTCTCCCAGAATCACCCTGCTCCTGTACCCTCATACCAGCCCTGTGGGGTTCATATGACCCCGTAGAACAAGCTCATAGCTGCAGTCACCTGGCGCGAGGTTGTTCCCCTCAGCCTCCTTGACCTCTTCTGTTTGTCCCCACTCTTTCTAAATCCCATTTTGGGAAAAGGATGGGAGCCCAGGCTGTACCAGCTGGGCACCTACTCACAACCCAAGGAAAGAGCCTCCTCTCCCTTGTCTCAGTGCATCTGCCATCTGCTGATGTAAGGGCTGTCCCAAACACAGAAGCAGCAAGGGCAGAGCACAGTCTGTCAGTTCTGAGGCAGCACGGATGTGATACTTAGTGTGGCTTGTCCATCTCAATCTTGGTGTTAGGAGGCAGTCTCTGTGGATGAACTTTTGTCTTCAGGCCACAAGAAGCCCTAATCTAACCCAAGCGCAGGCGGAAGGTGCCGATCTCCATGGGCTCCAGAGAGATGTCAGTGCTGTTGGAGGGTGAGGCCAGAGGGTATAGCAAAGTCAAAGAAGTTGGCTGCAGGAATGTCACATCTAAGCCATGGAAGAGGCTCCCCAGGGACAGCTGTGAAGAGAGAGGGGGCAGGGTGAGCTGCGCACTGCTAACACGGGGATAAGTTCTTCCTTACACCAACTACTACCTTTTTGGGTTTTTTTGAGACAGAGTCTCACACTGTAGTCCAGGCTGGCCTCAAACTCAGAGCAATCCTGCCTCAGTGCTGGGATTGCGTTGTGAGCTGCCACACCCGGCTTTCTGTCAGATTCTTAGAGCTAAGACGGTGTAACACAACTCCAGCTCTTGGGAGGTAGAGGCAGGTGGTTCAGGAGTTCAACTCAGCTTTGGCTACATAGTAAGATTACATCCAGCCTAGGTTATGTGTGACCTTGTCTCAAAATAAAGACTAAAAATAAGGTAAATAAATAATATTAAAAGTAAGAGGAGAACCACAACCCCTCAAGAGCAGCAGGCCTCAGTCAGGGCTCTGCTGCAATCTACTCAAGTCCGAAGCTTGTCCAGGCTCCTCACTGTAGGACCTCTCACACCACGCTGTGTGAGCCAAGCACAAAGACTATCTGGGCTCACTTCTGAGTCACCAGGGCAAGCAACGTGCCAACTTACACCATGAGCAATGCTTTGAAAAGGTGCAGTGGTTTTTCATTCTCAAGTTTCCCACTTCACTCAGAAAAGGTCTGTCCTCAGGAAACCTGAGTTTTCTAGCTCCAAGCTTGTCTGAACCTGCTCCTGCCCACTTCATTACCAAAAGCACAGTCAAAGGCCTCCCTTCAGTCTCTGGAGAACCCTGAGGCTGCTCCTCCTCTCTTCCTACTGCCAACCTGAGTCCAGCCTTCCTCTAGGTCCTCTAGGCTCTCAGCCCAGAGCTTGGCTGTGCTGACCAGGCCATGCCTCCCACACCTGGACCCCACTCACCTTGCCTTGGCTTGTGGTACAGTTGAAGCCCAGATTCTTAGCTTCAAGGCCACAGTCAAACCCCTTGCGGTGTAAGATGAGAGCAGTATCAGCTGCGGGCAAGGTGTCCTGGAAGACAGTCAGGGGCAAGGGCAGTGGAGGGTCAGCAGCATGTCTGCCAAGAAGGCAAGGCTGGGAGGAGGGCCGGAGCCTGGTGGTGAGGGTTAGCGCTGACTGGGGCACTCACCTCGGCTGAGAGTGTGCGCAGATTGAGCAGATGGAAGTCACAGGGCAGTGGAGAAGCCAGCGGGTGGAAAGAGTGCAGCGTGGGGCTGGCACCCTGCCTCTTTGCCACGGGTAAGACAAGAGGCGGTGTGTTGAGGTACATGGAAGTCAGGTGGCTGAGGAGGGACGGGTAGCTTGTAGAGCGCTCCTGCTCCTGATGGACCTGCAAGATGGACCCAAAACGTAAGTGAGGGAACAGAGCCCCTCTAGGTGAAGGGGAGGCAGGCCAGCTCCTTTCAGAACAGCTTTCCTAGTTCACTTGGACTCTAGCTGTCTGGTCCTAGGCCCTGTACCTCCAACCCCTCACAGATGGCTACTGCTCATGGCAGTCAGCTCAGAGACAGTCATGTTACTAGGCCCACTTCTGTTTTCTTTAACACTCTCATCGGGTGCCGTCACCCCACAGAGAGGAGCAGACACGGACGACAGACATTCAGACACGCTTCACTATGGACAGGCTTCTAACAGAGGAAGTCCAGTGGTAAGATCCCACATCCACTGCATCGATTGGCCAGACGCTCAGGTCTGAGAGCTCCAGCTGGTAGGACACCCAGGTAGCTCCCAGGATGTCATACTCACAGCATTGCATGGAGTTCTCTCCACAGCCACGGCATTTCTGTATGCTCATCTCTGTTCCCAGCACTACCATCTGAGTGCTCTATAGAGTCCCCTTTGGCCCCTCACGCTCAGGCAGGGACTACTCCCCTTCCATTTTGCTTCTACAATGTCTTCAACACAGAATTCCTCTCCAGTTTCTTTTTCCTGCCCTTGGCTTACTTCAAGTCTCTAAGGTTTCCTGTTTCAACATCTGAAACTGTTGTCCCTACCCTGTGTCCCTACTCAGCCACTCTGTTCCTTGTGGTCCTGACAGCTGAGGACAAATTCCTACAGTATCCCTCCCTCCTCAAGTCTTTTCCATCTCCAGGCTCTGGCCAGACACTCAGATCTTTGTGGTCTGCTCTGTCCCACACCCCCATGTTCAAGCCCAGTGTGGCTCATGGAGTTTTCTGAAATAACAGAAGCACTACCTGCCATGCCTTCTGTGATAGCTCCTGACAGTCTGGAAACACTGGGGGCTTAAAGGTAGTATTTAAAAACAATTTATTATGATCATTTTGTGTGTACGGGGTTTGTCCGTGCGCTTCTGTCTGTATAGTCTGTGCACTTTGGAGACCAAAAGAAGACATGGGATCCCACGAACCGGAGTTACAGATGGCCCTGCGCTGCCCTGTGGGTGTTGGGTCAAACTTGGATCCTCTAGAGGAGCAGGCAATACTTGTAACTCTGAGGAACTCTCCAGCCCCTGGTAATTTTTTTTTTAAATTTTTTTGAGACAGGGTTCTTACAATGTAGTATTAGCTGCCCTGGAACTCTCCATGCTGACTAGGGGTCAACCTCACAGAGATCCACCGCCTCTACCTTGACACTGAGATATGTGCCACCACACCTGGCCCAAGGAACATAGTCAGTGTGATCGAAAACCTGACCCTACTTCATCTTAATTCATTTGAGTAACCATAGATAAAAATAAAAAAATAAAAAAATAACCAACATGGTGGCATAGACCTCTAATTCTAACCCTTGGGAAATAGAGGCAGGAGAATGAAGTCTAGACTGGACTATATGATACCTTATTTCGAAAAAGAAAGAAAGGAGGAAGGAAGGAAGAAAGAGAGAGAGAGAGAAAGAGAGACAGAGAAAGAGACAGAGAGAGGAAGGAAGGAAGGAAGGAAGGAAGGAAGGAAGGAAGGAAGGAAGGAAGGAAGGAAGGGAGGGAGGGAGGGAGGGAGGGAAGAAGGAAGGAAGGAAACAGCCCGCCATAGGTAGCTAGGTAAGGTGGCATATGCCTGGGTCTTAGCTACTTAGGAGGCTGAAACTGGGAGCTCACTCAAACTCAGGAGTTCAAGGCCAGCCTAGGCAACAGTGAGACCAAAGTCAAGGTTAACTAAGGATATCGCCACATCAAAGGGCAGCTCCCCTGCTCACTAGCAGAGCCCAGCACACAGGCCTGCAGCCTTAGTTCCCACAGCACAGCAGCGGCTCAGCGGCTATGTGAGGAGTGTCTAAGCCACACCTGCGGGGTTCTAGGCAGCAGACTCCAACTACAAGGCCAGGCTGCTCACCCTAGGCCACCAAGGCCCTCTCTGACCCTTACCTTTGAGATCCTGATTGTGTTGCTGGTAAAGATCAAGCCCCTAAACTTGGCTGCCAGTTTGGAGAAAAAGCCAGGCTGGTGAGGCAAAGAAAACTGAGATGAGCAGCGCTGTGTCAGGGTTGGGAAACGCTCAGGCTTGCAGTGGGAAGGTGAGGGCAGGAAAGAGAAAGGCAGGAGATGAACATGGCGAAGGAAGGGCGACAGGGCGCGGCTAGGGGACGGACTGCCAAGCTGCATGAAATGAGTTAGCAAAATGCCAGATAGCCTCCTGCCTCAGTGGCGGAAATAAGCTGTACTGTCTGCCCTTTGCCCTCCTCCAGCTACATCTGGGAACCCCAGGGGTTACCCACAGGGCAACGGGCCCAGATTTTACCTCATGGCTCATCGTGGTTCGACGCTCTAACAGGAGCCGGAACCGGTTGCAGGTGATCTTGTTGTCTTTGAGCCCTTGGCCGAGTCCCCGGTTGTCATCCTGCATCAGCCTTCGATCCAAGATTACTTCAAGCTGGCCTGTAGGAGATAACAGTGAGCTCCAGCCTGCCAAATCCATGTCTAAGCAGACTCTACCTCAGGTGACTGGAGGAAGCCAGCGACACAGACAAGCTGAGTCACTCAGAAGAGAGTGATGGATATGAGAGAGCAGGGTGTGTGCGTCTCACCTTAGTTTTCTAGGTGAAGAAACAGGAGGCCTAGAAAGGGGAGCACTGGCCATGGCAGTTCACCTCAGTGACACAGGTAGGACCTGGGCCCCAGGCCCAGGAGGAAACCTCTTAGGGATTGGCCACAGAGAACACAGTAACCAGCAGCCGGAAAAAGAGAAAGGCCTCTTTGTAATACTGCTGCAGAGTCCCTCATCTGAGACAGGCTTCCTCAGGCTGGACAGACTCATGACTTGACACAAGCCCTCTTGCCTTTACACTACCCCACATCAGCAGTCCAGACTGGAGTGGATGGCCTTGACTGTCAGAAGAGGGCTGTGGTGAGGACAGGCAGAAGGCCTGAGATGGAGGCTCAGCACGGCCTCCAATCTGGCTCAGGTAAGAGGCAAAAGAGGACCATCTCTGTAAACTGTTTGGAATTTGCTTGGCACGGGGGTCTTACTGAGAAGCTGACAGCTGTGGAGGAAGGCTCTCGCACAGCAAGTGATCCTTTTCACCTCCACAGTCCTGACTCTGATTTCTGTATTTTCTTTGGCTTTGTACTCTGAGCAAACACAGAAGGCTATCTCCAACCCGAAAATAAGTTCCCTGCATAGAAGAGAATCATTCCTTAATACACCGTGTCCCAGAGAGGCCGACAGCTGACAGAGCAAGGACAATGGGCTGCATTCAGGAGTTTTGAGGCAGACAAATCCCAGATAATCCTGGCAGAGGGTCAGAGAGCCATACTCTTCCCATAGAGGAAGCAGGCACTCGCCACCGCTGTGGGATAGCTTCAATCCTGCACTCAGCTCAGCTGTCACAAGCTCTATACCCACAGACAAAAGACCTGAGACAGGCCACAGACAGGGCCGGAGAGTCATAAGTCACTGCTCATCTTGTTCCAAGGCTGCACGAATTACTGGGATGGGAGAGCTCCCAACTTGTCTCCTCCCTCTGTCCACACTGAGGGGGGAAGCGCATCTTATCCATGCCACAAGAATCCCAGCCACAGAGCTAAGTCTTTAAGTCCTCCTTGTTTTAACGTTTTGTCTTGAGACAGTCTTACTAATGTTGCCCAGACTGACCTTGAGTTTAGGACTGTCCTTCCTCAGCTTCTCTGTGCTACTGGGCTTAGAAAGCTTTGATTTGTAAGAATGTTGTTATGCTTTCTTTTACTGACCATTAGGAGGAAATTACCTATTTTTCCTTTCCTAAATATTACACTGTAACCACTTAAGACTTCCCTCCTCTAGGGCTGTGGGGCCAGTGGTGGCGTTCACCTTTAATCCCAGCACTCAGGAGGCAGAGTCAGACAGATCTTTGAGTTCGAGGACAGCCTGATCTACAGAGTGAGTTCCAGGACAGCCCGGGCTATACAGAGAAACCCTGTCTCGAAAAACCAAAAAACAAAAAAACAAAACAAAACAAAAAGAAAAAAAAAAGAAAAAACAAGGGGGATTTCTGAGTTTGAGGCCAGCCTGGTCTACAGAGTGAATTCCAGGACAGCCTGGGCTATAAAGAGAAACCCTGTCTCGAAAAACCAAAAAAAAAAAAAAAAAAAAAAAAAACCAAAAAAAAAAAA